AGTTTGCTGCAGATATGTCACTTAGTCATGGCAACAGCAATAGTTTCTCAGTTTGAGTTGCAGTGCTGATATCTGTATCAGTTACCATCCAGCATTTTGAAACCCTTGCTCCTTTTACAATCAACGGAAAGAAGGGGGTTAACTCTTAGGTCAAGTATGTTTATGTGGTAGCCTGCATATACTGTTGAGAACCTGAATTTTAGCAGTGTTGAAATCCTAAGTGACTGTCAGAGGGAAAGCCTTTAGAAAGCTGTGCTTTCTTCAAGATCATCACTAAGGGAGGTACTGTGACAAGAGAGGTCACAGTGGCCAGACCATCCAGCCAAATCAAGCTCTAGAGCCTGAGTTTGCTAAGACACCTCAAAGCAGACAAGCAAATGTGGCTCACATTCAGCAAGTCAGGGCTTAACATCTCCTGAGAGTTCTCGAGGGGAAAGAAACCTTACAGTAGACAAGATTTGCTGAGGAGATGGGACTAATCACCAAACCTTATCTGTTCTACTAAAGAGTAGCCTTGTTTGGGTGGGAGCAGTGACCAAACAGAACTGGTTCCTTGAGATCCTAAATGCAAGGAATTCTTCCTGGTCACCAGCTAATGCTGAACTGGTCAAAATGCCACTGATGGAGAAGCCTGCCTACCCACTGTGGTTTGGGAAACTGTATACAAAGCAGTGCCAGGAACAGCTGCAGCATTTTACAGGAATACACTCCCACTCATGGCCACAGTGAGAGGAAAGACAGTAGTGGAGTAGGTGGAGTCATTAAGTAAAAAAGACACATGAATGGGACTTTACAAAGCCTTTTGTCGCAGTTTGTGTGAAAGACATCATGAAGTACAAGTGTGTTGTTCCATGACAGTGTTACCACACCCTGTACAAATGGTGACAGCTTCAGACCCTACCTGAGTCACCTGGACCAAAATAACTTGACAGCAAACATTAATCACACGCTTGAAACTGCTCTTCAGTACCAGCACTTTTGAGGGAAAGAGCAACACAGCCTGTCAAACTTTCTAGGAAGTTTACTGTCCACAGAGTAGACTCAATGAATGCTTCTGCCTAAAATATACTCACTTGATTTGTCTGAATAGTCTGTGCTTATTCTCACAGCTTAGATTTGTTCCTTGTACTTCACATTTTCAGGTGAGAAGCCATCAGTCTTGACAAACCGTGTCATGCAAGCTTTCTAAAGCACATTCCCCTCTCTCCTTCCAATCACATGTTCATCAATGACAGGAAATCTTAAAAAAAAGTAAAAGTTTGCAGGGTACAGAGGCAAAAATACCAGAACAAACCAAAGAGGAATCTGCATTACAAGAGAATCTTACTTCATTAATAAAGTGACCTGCATGCCTCAAGTTTTAAAAGGGAAAGAGGCAGTTTTCATTGCAGACCTGGGCATCTTCCCCAGCTCCAGAAAACCTCAGGGCACTTCTGCTCTGGTTACTGTCCTCTTCACTTAAAGGAGTGGTCTATGGAGTAGTGGCCACCCCTCTGGCTCACTCCTCACAACTACACAATAGCTGAGGCACCAAGGAGCCCACAGTCCCCCATTCCATACCACTTGTCCATGACCCAGACCAGTTGGAAGAGGCTGAGACACTAGAGGAGAACAAAATCTTTCCTGACCTCTGTGAATCCCATGGGCAAAAACTCCTCTTCCTAGAATATATGCCCAGAGTATGGCATTTTTACTTAACATTAGCACACATCAATTTAAGCAAATGGTGTATATGTTCAGGCTATTTTTAAAATTCCCCCAAGTCACCTATCCATGCTCTACATCTCCTCCCATATTGGCTCCTTAATCTTCAGGCTCTATTTAACCTCTTGAGCAGATTTTGACAGACTTTTTATTGCCTTTTTTTTTTGGTGATTCCATATTTCCAGAGTGAACCTAAGATCAGCCTGGGTTTTTGCATGTCAACAAATCTTATGGTAATGCTGTTCTTTGACTCAGTCCTTCCCTTCATGTCCTCCCTCTGTTCTTGTTCTCCCTCAGAGCTCTCTGTATCGGTGACACCACCTAGAAGAGACCCAAGATGTTGGTTCTACTGGCTGGTATCTTTGTGGTTCACATTGCCACTGTCATCATGCTCTTCGTCTCCACCATTGCCAACGTAAGTAGACTGCCCTGGATGAGACATGGCTGTCAGCTCCCGCAGAGCCTTAGATACGGCTGGCAGGCAGACCACGGGGTGGGTGCTCTGGTGAGGGTGAGGAACATCCACTCACGGTCATGAGGAGAGAGGAAACAGTGATGGGTGTGCTTAGGGAGCAGAAAGGCAGCTGGGCTGGTACAGGAGGCAGCCTCTGTCACCTCCCCAGGCCCCTGAGCCAGCAGCACCTCAACACCCTTCATCTGGCCAGGGAGGCGCGGTACCAGCAGTGACAGCCATGGCACAGCACTGTTCCCCCCAGCCAGGGACAGGATGCTCCCACCAGGGCACATTCCATGCCAAGGGGGGCGGGGGGGCCGCCCGGGAAATCTGGGCCAAGGGGACCCCTGGTGGCGCTGCTGGGGTCCCCGTGCCTCCCCGCCCACCATTAGAGCAGATTCTGGGATCCCCTCACACCGTTTGGCCAGCTGTGACCCCCAGCTGCCACCTCGCACAGGAAGAGAGTCAGGATGACCTGGGATATTTCTCCTCAATGATTGGAACAGACTTCATGGTGTTTTGCCCAAAACAAATGACTCCTGGCACTGGGAGCCAGTGTCATGTCCCACCTGTCCAGTGTCGACATTTCTGGGCAGTTGGGCTACTTGTGCTCACCTTACGGTTTAGTCTGACAGAAGAGCAAAGAAGCTTTCCTGCCCCATGACGTGACCTTTCTATCCTATTTTAGGTTTGGATGGTGGGTTCTTCCAGTGCTGGAACGATCTCAAGAGGACTCTGGCTGCTGTGCAACAAGACCTGCACTCAGCTGCCAGTTAGCAGTGAAGATGAGGGTAAGTTACAGCCACATTTTTGTCATGGTGAATCACAGGACATTGATGAGCATTGCCAAGACTGAATCCTGACCTTCTCCAATCTATTCTCTCTGTTTTGACAGCTTCCCTCAAAGCCGTGCAAGCCTTTATGATCCTCTCGATAATTTTCTCCGTTGTGGCGCTCGTTCTGTTCATTATCCAGCTGTTCAGCCTGGAAAAAGGCAAACGTTTCTACATGACCGGAGCCGTCATGCTGGTTTGCTGTGAGTATGCATCTGCACATTGTGCCATGACTCCCTGTGCGTCCTACTGACTCTGTGAACACAAGTAGCCACATACGGTCACCAGGGGACGTTGTCAGCCAGCTAAATGTCTCCAGTGGCCCAATTTTTGTTACAAAACAAAGCACTGGGGAATCGGAAAGCGTTGGGTTGGGATTTTTTTGGCTGTATATAATGAAAGTATTTCCATATTTTCATTAGGAAATCCCAGTGGGTTTTGCAAAATACCTTTGAAAGACAACAAAAAGGATTGAAATGTTTTGGGGGAGCAGGGGAATAAACAGTTAGCTACTGCACAGGGGATTCAACACATAGCACCAAACTGTCGTCAGATCTTATTACTGATTTTCTCCTAACAAAGGTTTATTCCTCGTGGCACTCACCAAACAAGCCCCAAGTGTCTTATGTCATCACAGCTGCAAAAGAAATCCTCCACAAATAAGCCTAATGGGCAGCAGCTCCTCTCTCATCTGGCATAAGATATGCATTACAATCTCAGGGGACAGCACTACTTCAGGAGTGTTGCAGCAATGCTGGTTTCTGTGCATTTTCCAACTCTCTTTTCCCTCTTTCTTCCCACAGGGATGTGCATTCTGATTGCAGTCTCCATTTACACAGCTCGGTTCGCAGGCACAGTGTACACCACAAATCCTCACCATGGCTACTGCTTCATATTGGCCTGGATCTGCTTCTGCTTTAGTTTTGTTATTGGCATCCTCTACCTTGTTCTTAGAAAAAAATAAGACTGATGGGTGTCCAGGGGAGAGGGTTGGCTACTGGGAGTGGGGAAGAATTACTCTGCTGAGAGAGCTGTTGGGCCAATAGACAAAAACAGCCACCATCATCACCATTGCCACTGCAGAAAAATCACTAACAAAGCTAGATTCCTCAGAAGCTCCTTCATTAAAGAGAAGGAGAAACAACTCCTACAGATCTAGCACTTCTGGGGCTAGAAATCTGCAAGTGACCCAGACAGCTCTTCTCCTTTTCTGCAAAGTTGTGCCATACCTTCACAAAGCTTCAAGCTCAGCAGTGATGATTAAAGGGCACCACAAAAACAAAGGCTATATCTTTTTCTCTTCCTAGAGCCCTTCTTACTTACATTTGAGTGTGCCTTGTGGGTTGGACAGTGAGGATTATGACCCCTTTATTTGTCTATTGATACAAATGGGATGGGCCTTTTGTTACATTTATATATATATTTATATATATATATACACACATAAGTGAACATTAAGGACATTAAATTGAGAAAAAAACAATAGAAATTTGATTAATTTTGTATTAAAATATCTTCAAAAATAAGGCAGCAATTTCTTTTGCTATTCTGTTTTCTATTTGATATTCCCATGATTTAATAAGATACAAGTAGGATTGGCAAATATATAGGCATGGATGATGGAGTGAGAGAGAGAGAGAGAGAGAGAGAGAGAGAGAGAGAGAGAGAATAGGGGTACAGATACGCAGAGGTTCTTAATAACAGAGGGTGCAGTTGCTCAGTGGTACACATGCAGGGAGAGAACCATCTGGCTGTGTGTCTACACTAAAACAATCTTCTATTCAACTCCAGAACATGGTAACAACACTGCTACATTGAAAATCCTTACTGAGACAAGTCCGTATCTGTAGGCAGGGCTTTTTCCCACATCATCACCTGGTATCTCATATTAATTGAGTGCCCCACCTTGTGACAAAGCTCATCTAAAAAGCAGATAATGGTTAGCAGAGAAAAATTATTCCCTAATGAGAGATCGGGAGAGAGGAAGTAGAGCTTGTGAGTTTTTGCTCCTTGCTGCACAACATTAGGCCGGCCACTTAACCTGGTGCTTTTCATCTGCCAAATTCTTCCATAAAACTAGCTACCTCCCAGGGTTGCTGAGAGATTCTGAGTCCAATCTGTAACACAAGCTCCCCATGTGAAAGGCTGGCACAGGGAAGTTAGGCACTGGTATTGCTGCAACCCACAAATTTCTGTTAGCTTGAAGAATCTCAGTCACAAGAAGCATTTGCAAGAGATGAGGTCAAAATTTCCTGTGACTCCATTCACAACTAAAAGGTAGAGAGTATAAAAACCATGTTAGTATAAAAACGATTGTGCATGGATGCTATTTACCTCTCTCTCTCTTTCTGTTACATTTTTTTCTTACATAGACTTTACAAATTTGGTGGATATATTCTAGTACTGTATGTTGGTGTTTCATTAACAAAGGTTATTTCATATATAGTCATTGTAAATATTTTGAAATGCATATTTTTAACTTTGTGGGTATAAAAATAAAATCTGATTCCCTTTCTAAAAAAGAGTTTTGTTCAGTTTTTTTTTTTTTTTTTTCAATTTGTGTTT